TCTGGAGGGTTTGGGGGACACTTATGGGACATATGGGGGGCGATATCGGGGTTCTGGGGAGCACAGGGCATATTGCCAGTCCCTCCCAGTTCCTTCCAGCATGATCCCATTTGCTCTCAACCGCACCCAGTCAGCCTCAGTATAGCTGGACTCACTGCCAGTATGATCCCAGTCTCTCTCAGTGTGATTGCAGTCTCTCCTGCCATGGGCCCAGCTGCTCCCAGTATGATCCCAGTATTATGTCAGTACTCCCCCAGGACAATCCCAGTCAGTGCCAGGATGATCCCAGTACAAACCAGTCCCTGCCACTGCTTCCACTCCTGGGATCCCCCAGCCCTCTCTACGTTCCCCCTCCCACATCTCTCCAGAGGAGCCCCAAGGGCTGGGAATCCCCAGCCATGGTCCCCAGCCAGCTCCAGGTTGGATGTGCAGCCCCCAATTTTCCCAGTTTCCCTCTCCTTTTCCCTGGGTTGGGTTCCCCTCACCCCCAGCAGGTGGGAGCAGCTGAGAGCCTCGTGCTGTCCATCCCGACCTGTTCTGGTTCCATCCCCGCTCCTGCCATGGGCTGTGAGGGGTTCAGGAATGGGGCACCAAGGGTGTCGCCGCTCCTGGGGGAGGAGGAGGAGGAATGAAAGAGGAGGGATGAAGAAGGAGAGTGAGAAGGGATGGAAGTAGGAGAAGGAGATGGGGTTAGGGAGGAGGAGGAGGAGAAATGGAAAAGGAGGAGTGGGAGGAAGAGGAAGAGGAGGGACAAAGAAGGATCAGGGAAAGGAGAAGGAAGCATGAAGTTGAGCACTCCCTGAATTCACAGCCCCCCACCTGTGGGATCATCATCCCCCCATCCCACAGTTGCCCAAGGAGGGGAAGCTCAACCCAGATATCCTGGGTGGTCTCTGGGTTGGGGTTTTTGTGGGAGGGATGTGTGGAGAATGAAGATCTCCAAAGCTGAGTGGAAAATGCCCCTTGGAGGGACATTGGGGGTTCCCAGTGGCGGCTGCCAGCAGAGGCAGCCTGGAGGAGCAGAGCCCTGTGACCCCCCCCAGGACCCCAAAATGGGGAGCCCAGAGAGGAGAAGCGCTGCGATTTATGGGACCCTCAGCAGCCTGGAGAGGGGCAGGGGGGACTCCTTGGACCCCCTGCATCCCAAAGTAGCGAATAAGGAGAGAAAGGACTCTGGAACCTAAAAACCCCCGCTATCCCTATATGTTGAGATGAAAATGGGGGGAACTTTTCGGATTGCTGGCACTCACAGCAGCCTGGGGAGGGTCGGGACCGAGTAGAAGGGGGACCATCAGTGCAAGTGTGACCCCCAGCAGCTGGGACAGGAGGGAAACCCTGAACACCAAATGGGAGAGACCAGAGATGGGGAACTCCTGGGAGGTATTTTCAAAGCTAAAACTTGGTGTTTTGGATATTTATATGGGCACCAGATGCCCAGTGACTTCAAGAGGTGGACTTGTGCAGAGAACCCCCTAACCCCCAATGTGCTTATGCACTGTATTTTTGCCCAAACCAGGATTTCTCATTCCCAGACCTTGGCTGGATGGAGGAGGAGGCAGCGAGGAAGAGGAAAATGCCCCAGGACACCCAGGCAGGTGAGGAGGAAGTCACTGCCCCTTTCCCCCTCTCTCCTGCTCCATCTCCCAGCCCAGCATGGCCCCCGCCTGCAGGACAACCCCGCTGCCGACGCCGTCCTCGCCTGCAGGACAACCCCGCTGCCGACGCCGTCCTGCTGGGGACGCCCTGGGGGGATCACCTTCCCCTTCCCTCTGGCACGGAGGCAAATCCCAACCTCTCTTTGTCCTTCCTCCCCCAGATAAGGAGCCAAGGACAGAGACCAGGGGGGACAAATCCCTGGGGCACAACCTCGTGGAAGAGGCCGTTTTGAGCAGCTCCATGGTGCAGGAATCCAATGGTGAGGAAAATCCCCAGAGATCTCGTAGGAGGAGGGGCTTCAAACCCAGCCCAGGGTGCTCTGAGGAGGAAAGATCCACCCTGTGCCGGGAAGGCGGCCGGAGATCCAGCCAGGGCTCTGAGCTGGTGGTCCATGAGCAGCTTCAGGATGGGGAGAAGCCCTACAAGTGCTTGGAGTGTGGGAAGAGCTTCAGCCGGAGCAACCGTCTGATCTGCCACCAGATGATCCACACTGGGGAATGGGCCTGTGAGTGTGAGGAATGTAGGAAGGGCTTCAGCTACAGCTCCAACCTCATCGTCCACCAGCACATCCACACTGGGGAGAGGCCCTACAAGTGTCCTCATTGTGGGAAGAGCTTCTCCCAGAGCTCCAACCTGACCATCCACCAGAGGATCCACACTGAGGAACGGCCCTACAAGTGTGGGGAATGTGAGATGACCTTTAGCTGGAGGTCCCAACTGACCATCCACCAGATGATCCACACTGGTGAGAGACCATATGAGTGTATGGAGTGTGGGAAGAGGTTTCAGACCACCTCCAATCTCCTCATGCACCAGCGGATTCACACAGATGAGAGGCCCTTCCGCTGCCCTGATTGTGGGGAGGGCTTCAAGCAAAACTCCACCCTCATCACCCACCGGCGCATCCACACCGGGGAGAAGCCCTACGAGTGTGGAGAATGTGGGAAGAGCTTCAGCGACAGCTCCAGTTTGATCCGCCACCAGAGGATCCACACTGGGGAATGGCCCTACAAGTGTGGGGAATGTGGGCAGACATTCAGAGAGAGGTTCAAACTGATCATCCACCAGCGCATCCACACTGGGGAGAGGCCCTACAAGTGTATGGAGTGTGGGAAGAGGTTTCAGACCAGCTCCTATCTCCTCCAGCACCAGAGAATTCACACAGAGGAGAGGCCCTTCCGCTGCCCTGACTGTGGGACGGGGTTCAAATACAACTCCAACCTCATCACCCACCGGCGCATCCACACTGGGGAGAGGCCCTACGAGTGTCCCCAGTGTGGGAAGAGCTTTACCCAGAGCACAGCCTTGGCCCAACACCAACAGAGGCACCGATAAGGGAAGCCCTACGAATGCCCAAAGTGCAGGAAGAGCTTGGTTTGCTGCTCCAGCTTCTTTCCCCCCTTGGAGGACTCAAGTTTTGCAGAGCCCTAAAGACCCATGTTCCCAGTGATCTGCATTGGGAGGACACTGGGATGGTGGTCCTTTTGTTTTGGCTCTAATTTTCTTTTGATTCATCTTCATCCCTTTAAAACAGACAAAATTTGGGTAAAAATCAACAAATTCATCAAAGGCATCTAAAGCCTCACTTTTAATAGTGCTTCAAGGGAATCTGGGAGAAACTTGGGAGGGTTTTGGGGGATATTTGGTATAGTTGTCTCCATTTCTTGGCACTCAACAAGATGAGATGCTTCAATCTGTCACCTCAAAACCACTCAATGCCACTGAAAACTACTCAGTCCCACCCCAAAATTACCAGATTCCACAGCCTTTCAGGGTGTGATGCCTTAAGTTTTAGCTTTCATATTTTTCATATTCTGCACTGCCCGGGTTTGTAGTTTTGAACTTCATATCAAGTGTTAGTGAGCTCTCTTCACAGAGTAGGTAGACAAAACAATTCCTTTTCTAGCTTGATACAAAGGACAGCTGTGAAGAGTTTCAGGCCCAAAAGCGTAAACAGGGGTGGACTGAAGAGAGAAAACAAGAAAGATGGGACTTCATCTTTTGAAGCAGTAATTGGACCATGAACCCCAATATGCAGATGGACCTAAACTTCTAAAAATGTGAGACCTTGTGCTCAGTTGTCCATTTTTGTGACCATTTTCAGTCCATCTTGGGTGTAGCCCTGGCCAGGCTCTTCTACTGCCCCAGGTGTATCCTTTAAGGCCTTTTAATAAATGTTATTCTTAACTCTGTCCAGCCTCTGTTCTAGATCAGCCTTCTCAAGGCATCAGGTGGAATGGGGTTGGAAGGGGACTGGGTGAAGTGGGATGCAAATCAGGAGGGGTGAGATGGGCATTGGGTGAGGCAGGATGGGTGGGATGGGGATTGGGAAGTGTGAAATGGGAGAAATAGGGCTTGGGAAGGGGCTCATGCTGTGGGATGGGAGGAGCAGGAGTGGGATTGGTTGTGGTTGGGATTGGGAAGGTGGGATGGGGTCTGGAATGAGACAGCCAAGGTTCAAGGATGATGAAGGGAGGAGGAGTTTTTTACTGAGTTAGTTTTTGGATATTCCACGTTCTTAAGATTTTGGGGTTACTCACGTTTCTGAGGCAGTTTTGGGAGTTTCCCAAACTGTTGGGAGGTTCCTGAGAGTAGCTCCATAGAGCCCCACTGCCACGGGTGGTTGCCATGGGCACGAGGTCAGAGCTGTCGGCAGAGTCTGTTGCCTTGGCACTGTGCAGAAAAACGTTTTAACAGAACAAAAGTGTGATATTTTAGTAAAAGCCTGTCTGCACAACCCAGCTTTCAATCCAGGCAACAATTCTAAGGGCAGTGTCCTTGAAGCTCTCCTGGAACAGCAAGAATAAATAAAAACAATGGCATTGTGTACGTGGAAAAGAATGTAAAGCAATATGCATTAACAAATAGTAGCTTGTTAAGCCCTGCGAACCCTGTAGGACCCTATAAAATTGTGCTAAGAATATAAATAAATGACATTTGCTATACCTCTATGAGGACTCAGTGAATTGTCTGAGCAGTTTTCCATGACCTGGCACTCTGAACAGGGACCCTTTGCAGGCAAAGGGTACCAGCTCGACAGATTCGCGCCGTGTTTGGACGTGGAATGCGGATCAGGGCTGAGGGAGCAGATTCGTGCAGTAGTTGGATGCGGAAAGCATGGATCGGAGCTGGGTGGCAGGTTCGTGCAGCGGTTGGATGTGGAATTGTGAACCTAAGCTGGGGAAAACTGGGGACGGAGGAGCCTGAGACAGAAGACCAAAGGCAAGTACGCATCGGCACTCAGGTAGGAGGCGTCATGAACCTCTCCCCATCCAGGGCTGCTAGTATGGATATAGTTTGCGGCAGCACAAAAACTGCTTCAAAGCGTTATAGTTAAATGAGGGGAAGCAGTCAAGGATAAGGACCTTGAAAAGCTCGTTTTATGGGCTAGAGAAAACAGAAACTTGAAAGTGCCTCCACTGCTTTTTGCAGTGGAAGAATGGAGAGAAATATGAGTCCAGTTGTGGGAGAAAACAATTACAAGGAAAAGCAAGGACACTCTGTCTTACAGTCTGACTTGGCAGATTGTAATTAATACCTTAAAAGACATGAAAGCAGAATTTACCCAGGTTGAGAGCCTGCGTCACAGCAGCAGCCATCTCTACCTCCCACTGCTAGGCGAACATTCTTGGCAATGACGCCCTTGGAGAGAGGGGGAGAGAGTCAGAGAGAAGTATATAAGGAGGTGTTCAATGTTTTTAAATTGATTGTGGACCTACAGGGACAACATATTAACTCTACTTTTGAAGAGAAGCCAGATTTAGATTGGTTTCCACCCGATCCAGGGGGGGCATGGGAGGAGCACTGGAGGGTGCGCAGAGAACAAAGGCACCCCCATGACAGAGGCATTGCAGAAGAAGCTCCAAGGCCACACAGGACAAATATCAGCAATTACAGAAAGAGTTGAGCGGAAACAGGTGGCTCAGACAGCTTCAAAGGGAGACAAAATAGTCAAAAAATTGCTAACTATATGGTATCTAGTTCAAAATTCATTACTGTAATTAAAAGTTGGTAAGTTCCAATGGTCACCGTTGCTATCACCTGGCCCTGAGAAGCTCTTTGCTTAACATCACCCATTTTTGTAAAATCGTGTCCTTTTCCCTCTGTCTGCAAAGAACGAGATAAACATTGAGGGAAAGAACTGCATTTGTTAAAGTTAACTTTATAGGTTTTTTTTGTCTCCAGTTTTCCCCTCTGCAAGTGTATATGGAGGATGTGGTTCACACACACACACACCCCCCCCCCCCCCCCC